AGAGTAAGACTCGACTCAAAAAAAAAAAAAAAAAAAGCAAGAAAGAAACAGCCTTTTTTGAAGAGAACCCCAAGGAGGAAGCCCAAGTCTAAAGGGCAACAGGTCCGCACGCTCTCGGCAGAGTAGGAAGGGGAAGGCCAGTTTGCCAAAAATCCACTTGCCAGATGACCTGCGCACTGAATTTCCAAGTACGCAGATCCTGCTTATGGAAATACTCGGAATGTGTGCTCCTCACAACAAGCCACTGGAAAACCGGTCGGAGAACCCCCAAACCATGGTGTTGGCAAAATAGAACATGACTTGAAGGGACTTGAAAAAGGACCAGTGTCAACTTCAACAATCCCGTTGTTTGTTTTTTTTTTGTCACCCAGGCTGGAGGGCAGTGGCACGCCCCCAGCCACTGCAGCCTCAACCTGTTGGGCTTAGGTGATCCTTCCGCCTCAGCCTTCCAAGTAGCTGGAACTACAGGCACAACACCACAAAGCCTGGCTAATTTTTCGATTTATTGTAGAGATGGGGTCTCACCAAGTTGCCCAGGCTGGTCTTGAACCCTGGGCTCAGGCAGTCCTCTCTCCTTGGCCTCCCGAAGGGCTGGGAGCCACTGTGCCCAGCCACATTCCCATATTAAACACTGAAATTGTGGTGGTTTTCCTAAGAGTATGTTAATCTTCTTTGACTAAATTCAAGAAGGTAGTCATATGAACAATTGGTACATCGGAGGAACAAATATATTCAAAAAAATAACATTTATATTCATAGTCTTTCATTATATTCAAAAATAACACATTCGTGTACATAATCATTAGAAGAATCAGCAAACTTGGTAAACTCAGCAAGCTGGCCGTTGTGTTTGTTGGCCTAATCCCAGGAAGGGGCCCCACTGCCTCCCCCAGCCTTCCAACCTCCCCCCAAGCAGTTCCTGAGCTCACTTTGGGAACACAGAACTCCACAGAACATGGTCTGAAAATCACTATCAGCCGGGTGCAGTGGCTCACACGTGTAATCCCAGCACTTTGGGAGGTAGAGGCGAGAGGATTGCCTGAGCTCAGGGATTCGAGACCAGTCTGAGCAACATGGCAAGATTTTGTCTATACAATAAATCAAAAAGTCAGCCAGGCATGGTGGCACATGCCTATGGTTCCAGCTACTGGGAAGGCTGAGGCGGAAGGATCACTTGAGCCTAACAGGTGAGGCTGTGGTGGTATGAGCGTGCTACTGCACACTCCAGTCTGGGCAACACAGTGAGACTCCAAGTCCAAAAAAGAGAAAGAAAAGAAAATCACTATCTCTGAGTGAGACTCCATCACCTACCCTACAAGTACCCATTTTTTTTTTTTTTTTAATTTTTCTTTTGAGTTGGAGTCT